CTCGTGATGCGTGGGCAGAGTGCCGCGGCATGCCTAGGTCGGCTGGCATGATGGTCTGACCTAGGAGCAGCCTATGTGGCATGGCCACATCAGATGTTGGTGCTGACGTGGCTGGTTTTGGACTATTAGTTTGCGACGACAATGTTTAGGGATCCAGATGGTTACTTTTTTAGTTCGAGGATCCAGATGGGAACACGCTAAAATTTGGTTTTCTATCAGTTACGCGCTCATTTTCAGTATGGATGGCATTGTTTTTAAGTAGCATTGTGCTTTAGGAGTCTTGTGAATTTGAAATACATAATGTTTATTGACTTTACAAACTTGAACAAATACTTCAGTGCTGCATTGGGGAAGGGAAGACAGGCTGCAAAGACGCTTATAATTTTTTATTTTGTTCTTAATGCTCTCTTTGTTTCTTGTTCTTCTGTTGTGAATGCATAAAACATAATCAAATAAATATTTATTGCTTATTGTAACATAGCTATTTGCTCAGCAACATTGGCTAGAGCGGGAGTGCGTCGTGAGGAGCCACGTAGCGCTAGAGCAGGAGGAATCCATGAGGTGGTCATAGATGCTTATATTAAACTGTTGAACGCCCACGAGGGTTTGAAAAAGAGGCCAGGAGGTACAATCTATCTTGAAACAACGTGCTTAGTTGCCATCATGAAGCGGGATGGAGAAAATGATGAGACCATTAAAGCCAATTACCCTTATCGTGGCACTTCACAGCGTCCTAGTTTAGTTCAAAGGGTGCTAGCTTACTTGAAGCATGACATGGTAGCAAATTTTTTAAACGATCTATTGGTCTTTCGTTATCAATTTTTATGTCTAGCAAAATGTTTATTGTTTGATTTGATAGGTGTTCTTTCCAATAAATGTTACAAATATATATTGGTACCTTGCTGCTATAAACGTCGAAAAACGTGAGGTCCAGGTGCTAGATTCTTTGGGCGAGATGTTCAAATGTGCTGACCTCAACAAAATTATGGATATTTCCTAACACAGCTATTTGTAAACATTTTATATTTTAGAAATGCTGATTGATTCGTTCTTCTATGAACAAATAGCAGGGTGGACTATGGAAACAGATAGATTTCATATTAAAGAAGACAGGCCCGAAAGAGCACAAATGGCCCGAAAGACACACCAGCGCTGATGTATGCTAGGTACACTCTTGGATTTACCTTGCAGTATACGGACGTAGTGAATGTACATATTTCTGGATGGAACGAGGATGTCTTCAAATGAAAATTCAGATGGGAAGAAAACATTGCCGAGGACATAGATGGGTAACTAACTCAGAGTCACTATGGCTTGCAATAATAATACCTATGATTTAACTATTTCTATATATCGCTGATCGTGAATCTTGCCATAGACACTTAATTGGATATCTTATTATATAGTATATGTCTACGTGGAATAGATCAAAAGCCACACATATTTATACGGTGAGTATAACACTTTGTTTTAAGTTTTTGTGGAAGATTTTTCAAGAGACGCAGTATTACCCATGCGATAGGCACTAATATTGACATATATACTCGAGCATGTGTACAAGACGGTATGGAGATGCGGTGGAACTTATTCATGGATTTATTGACGCACGAAAGAAATGGATATCGGAGATTTCTTTCTGCCAATATAAAACATTCTCTTAGGCGTATCACGGAAAGGTCTATAAAGTAGAGTTTGTAAGCATGTGATATCGCGCTCTCCGTGACTGTTAATTTCACAAACTTTGCTTTTTGGATTAACTGTCACTTTAATATTGATATTTAATTTTTACAGTATTGTTATCTTATCGTACGATCCATGTGTTTTTAGTACAAATTGTTAGCTATTCCGTAGCAACGCACGGGCACGCTACCTAGTGTAAAATCTAAGTGAGGAAAACTTAGGTGTGAATAGAAGAAGACAAGTTATATTTATTCAATTACTTCACTCCTTTATATTTTAGATTAAATTTCATTAGAATGAGGCTTAAGACTATATGCCCCCATTTTGTAGCGTAATAGTGATTTTACCCTTTTTTTTAACTTTTGGATTTTACCCCTGTGTTTTTAAAGTGAAGAAAGAGTTTGTCCCTATAATGTGAAGTCCTCTTCACAGTGTTAAGTTTTGGGCAAAAGTACAAGTTTGCCAATGTGATTTTGTCCCTGTTTTATTTTGGTCTCTGTGTTTACTTTTAGATCAACGGTTTGAAAATTTGGGTATGGATTAGACAATCCAATCATGGCAAAATCAATCATATTTTAGAAAGAAAAGCATCGATAACATTTCAGCTAAAAATCTATATAAATCCAAAATTAATAACATCACACATATATCATTAAGGTTCTGGCTCAGTAACCATTAAAAATGCAAATATGAACCGCACATTCAGAAATGGCAGCGCTATCGTGTGTCCCTCCAAGCACAAATTCAGAACTAGAAAGTTGCGGGATGTATTGTGTGATGTATCTGACAACGGTCAGTGTATCCTCCTCGTAGCAGGTATCACAATTTATCCTTGTCCTCTCTAGAAGAGCTAACGACGCACACTGTAATTGAACAGTTGAGTTTACTGGTGTGGAACAATGACACTGGCAAGATTGGCACGATTGCTGCAGCAAAAATCGGAAATCAGTGGCGCTCCAGCCCGCTGCAACAGCAGGAGCACCGCAAAGCAACCGTAGGGCGACATTGGGCTTGAGATAGGATCAGGCCATCAGGGGGACTTACCCGCACCGGGCACTGCAGGGAGCACAAGGGGCGTGAGGGAAGCGGCCTGCAGAGGCAGAGGAGAGGAGTGGCGTCGTGGACCGCGACGAGTTGAGCACGCGGATGGCGGGGGCGACGAGGTAGCGGGCCATGAGGGAGCGGAAGGGAGGCCAGGGGGGCTGCCGGGGCCTCCCGCACTGCCTTTCGTTTTGGTCATGCAGTGATTCAGTCCATTTAGGTGGCGTTTGGATATCGGGAAATATGGGGTGGGATAGGGAAATGAGGGGTGATGGACATCTTATTCAACGTTTGGTTTTAGGGATAGGGAAATAGAGAAGGATAGGGTAAGGGATATGCTATCGGATCAGGAGGGGTGGGTTACGAGTGGGTTACCAGCTCCGCAGGCACCCTCGCCTCGCTACCGGCCGGCGTCTTCGTCGCAGCGCTCGTCCCCCACGCGCGCGGGAGACCGGATCCACCATCCCAGCGCTTGTCTCCCATGCGTGGGCGGTCTGAGCCACGCTCGCCTCGCTCGCGTGCGGGCCTTGGAGGTCGTCGCCTTGCTTGCGCGCCGGCGGCCGGCCACCGAAGCCTTGCTGTCGCTCGATCGGGACGCCGGAGGCGCAATGGTCGCCGGAGACACAGCCGTCGAAGCCACCTTGCGCCTTGGCTGCGGGAGAGCTGCTCAATTTGGCGGTGGCGCAAGCCAGGCGGAGCAGGCAGGTGGATTGCGCAAGCCACTGCTGCTACGCGGATTGGCGGCCTGGAGAGGGGCTTGGACGGCGACGGCAGATGGCAGATGGGTCCTAGGACGAGGAGCTCGCGCGCGGCAGTGGGCTCGCAGCCTGGAGCATGAGCGGCAGCGGCGGCTCTTGAGAGCGTGAATGGCGGCGGCGGGTGGAAGCCTAGGGAGATTTAGGAGTCGAGATGCGATCACGGCCTCACAGGTGACAGGCCACGGTTTGCAATTTTTTAATTGAAAAAAACGTGGGTCCCACTTCTAAACCCAAACCCATACCCAATCTCATCCAAACAATGGATTTTCCTTCCAACCTTTATTTTCCAGCCCTATATTTCCCGGTCCATAACCTTTCCCCTATTCCTCCTACCATCCGAACGCCATCTTAGGCTTTGTTTGGATGAGCATGTATTCATTCCAATTCACATATGTTGAAGTGGATTGAAGTGGAATTAAACTAAGTTTCCATTTTATTCTACTCTAACACATGTGGATTGAGATGAATACACGTGCATCAAAAAGACCTTAACGGGGTATGTTTTGTTTTCTTTCGTTTTGGTCATTCAGTCCATTTAACGGTGTCATAAAATAGAGGCGGATACACGCTTTGTTTCATAGGACAAAATCACTATACATAAATGCTATACAACATACGTGTGTTTTATCATAAAAAACACATGGATTGTAGTCTATCGGATTGTTGCCTCCGTTTGTCTGCATCGTCAGATCTGCGTCCGTATCACGCCTCGCCGTGCATGACGGCCCTTCATGCCCAAAGCTCCCATGCGGCCGCCATGGTCGAGGGCGAGGCGGTGCCTCGAGGCGAGCCGATCACGCGCCTGGTCTAGCCCTAGCCGGTGACAGAGCGAGACCATCTGATGGACCAATGAGGAGGAGCCGGTGCAAGGCAGGGAGAGCTAGCGACCATGGTTGGAGAGGTGCTAAGGAGGAGCCCGCAACCACGCCTAGCGCCTCCGGCGTCCGGCCTCCTGCTAGGCCGCCTCGGCCCTCCGGCAGTTCCGCGCGGCGGCGCCTCCCCGGGTCGGCGACCGAGGACCCCGACTCCCCGGCGGGCGGGCCACAACCCGGATCGCATCGGGTCAGCGGCGGCCGCATCGCCGGCGCCAGGAACCCCAACCTCTTTGTATTTTGTCCTTTCATAGAAAAAATTATTTTCTGTGATATGTGATTTGTGATATGTGGATCTGTGATCTTGTGATTGTCTTAAGGTAGAAGAAGGCTAGGGGTAGAAGAAGGATGGAGGCTGTTGGATCTTAATCTTAAGGTGTAAAAAAATTCATGTGTTGGAATTATATAAAACACATGGTTGTGCAGTAGACAGACTCATCATTGTAACATTTGCAGTAACACCAAATTTCTGATTAGAGACACGAGAAATAGAGAGCGCCCGCGTCGGCCGCCGCCTCTATATAACCTCGCCCACCCCAACCTCCTAATCCCAAACAATTCGAAATTCATTATCTCCCTCCGGAATACTTCCTCCCACGCCTCCTCCCTCCCCTCCTCGCCCATGGTGTCCTCCCTCCCCTCCTCCCCTATGGCGTCCGACCTCCCCTCCTCCCCCTCCTCCCACGCCTCCTCCCCGTCCTCCCACACCTCCTCCCCCTCCTGCCACGCCTTCGACGCCTCCTCCACCTCCACCACGTCCCTCCCCTCCTTCCACATCACGGTGGCTTCGGTGGATGAGGTGCGGCTCGCCTTGAGGTTCGCGACGCCCGAGGTGCAGCTGAAGTTCCGACTCGCACCGGACTCCTCCTTGGCGGAGGCTCATAAGCTGTGGCAGTTGGTGAACGCTCAGGGCGGTGGCGAAGCCGTGCTCATCAATCCTGACCGCCTTAGCAACAAGGAGGAGGCCCTTAGGTGCGTCAAGAGCAGGCTGGAGAGGCTACGGCGCTGGAAGCGTCATCTGGACTGCAAGCACAACAAGGTGCTGGTCCAGGTGTCAAAGCTGGACGAGGTGGTCGACGCAGGTGGACCAGGCGTTCCGCCGGGATATCAGCCGCACCGATACGACGGGCTCCCTGCCTACATCGACCTCGAGCAGGTGCGGTTGGTCGGTTCAATTCGGTGGTACGGTTTTGGGTTGCGGTGGGGGAGTACCATTTGGGGCTGGGACTGATTTGTTGTTGTGAATGGATCCATTGAATTTGGGTACGATTTTGGTTTGCAGTGGGGGAGGTGCCATTTGAGGATGCGAATGGATAAATTCAGGTACGATTCTGGTGCAATTTGGTGATGATTTGGGGATGCGAATGGTTCGGTGAGTCTAGGTTTAATACGGATACGGTTTTGATTGGCAGCGAGATGAGGTGTCATTTGGGTCCGATTGGGTCGAATTTGGTGCTACTGGCGACTGCCATTTAATCAGTTAGTCAGGTTGAACCTATTACCATCCATAAGTGGGCATGTGAATTACAGTAGTTTCTTGTGTTGGATTTGACCATTGTAAACAGTTTCTCATGTTGGATGCAAGCAGTTTTGTACTTTTGTTGAGTTGTTCTTTTTATCTGTAGTACTTGCTGGGTAATTCTAAAGAACTGGATTAAAAGTGCTTAAGAAGTTGCAGCCCATTGACCCACCCTGTGTGTAGGTCACCATTTCTTTTTGTTAATCTTTTGCCCAATAGGCTATCGCCCCCTTCTTCTTTTTTCTTTCTTTTTTTTTGCCTAGTTATGTCAGGCCTAGTTCAATTGATATGGCACACTTAACTGATTTGTTTAGTCCCTAGGGGCGAAGGCCCATGCATTTGGTGCTTGCTTTTGGATCATTGTGCAATTAGTGATTATATGCTAAGATACTGTTCAATTGGTGGTTAACTTGTGCCAATATAATAAGTTGCCTTTAAAAGACCGTAAGAAACAGGGCTAGTGGGATAATGTTCAGAGTCATACACAACATGCTCGACTACAGTGTGTGTTGATGAACGAAAAATGAGCTGTGCTGTTTCTCTTGTATGCTGGTTCAGACATCCAGTGATGGTATATTCCTGCAATTTTCGAATATAACGTGCTATGCTAGTTACTGTCAGTACTGTTGGGGAGTTACCTGTAGGCTGTAGGTAAAGGCATTTAGGAAAGATCATCACACTATAGGTGTTGGTGATTACCATGTCACTGGATAATTGATCTGTCAATAATTTTAGTTCACCTGCTTTTTGCTGAAATCTGTTGTGAAGCTGACCGATTCACGTCCCAGCTGTAATTTTGGTTGACTGACTTGTATTTAGTACTATCTCATCTGGATATTTTTATACATATCGGCCCTGTTCGCTTCTCTTGTAATCCGTACTTTTCAGGGTTTTTTTTCCAGCTGGAACAATGTTTTTCTCTCACAATAAATCATCCGGAACAATGTTTTGGCTTGTTTTTTCAGCGAAGCGAATGGGGCCATCATCAACATAAGTTTTGCTCCTAACTAAGAGCGGATGACTTCCATGGGAAACAAAATAGAACAAAAACATATTGGTGATGTGTTGCATGTGGTTTGGACTGCTATATCAGTTATGTTAGATGCAAAAAATGCACCTGAGTTGTTACCAGCCTGAATGAGGTGGCATCTTCCTCTTTTTCTACCTTAAGTCTTCAGTCTTCATTTTTTTTGTTCAATGACCCGTGCTTGATACATAGAGTTGATTGAGGAAAACATTAGTAACATCCTTGCTCACATACTGCCGAAGCGTTGTCTGCCTCTTGTATGACATTTGTTTGCTCCCCTCACTTATTTTTTCGAACACGGTTCAAAAGTGCACAAAGAAAAATAACCAAACACAACACCTGAACATGATGCACCCAGAAAAGTGCACAAGCCACACTAGAAACCTGCACCCACTAAGCACTTATAACAAAAGCACCAATCAATAGAAAAGGACAACCAAACAGGCCCGTGGTTAAGTTCCTGAGCTCCCTGACCCTGGAAGCGCCACAGTACATTCTTACTTCGATCACTGTCCCTGTATGTATTCCTTCTATCTGTATTAGTTGTTTCTTTATAAGGGTTTCTAGTGGCCTGCCTCCAGTAATTATAGGAAATACATTGGAATACCTGTCTTGAAGTAGTCTGGGACGTTTGGTTTCTAATGGTATAAATACCGGGCCACAAAATGTGTGGTTAACCTGACATTTCTGACTGTGTGGCTAACCTGCGAAATTCGGCATCCAAGTCGACCTGCCTTCTTTTCCATATTTCATTGTTGGTTTTGCGACATCGTGTTACAAAATTGTGGGCAAGCACGAATTTCAAGTCACTACCTACTTCTTTTTTTCTCTCGAAAAACACTACCTGCTTCTTTACTGTTTATTAGCCTGTCAGGCTGCATAAATAACACGTTCCGTGTTATAAAGTGCTTGTAGCCTAGTACACTTGCGGTTCTACAAATATTCTACCATCAGTCAGTTGGGAGCACAAAAATATATTGTTTGCTAGTGGTGCCGAATTCTGGCTTGATTTTTTGTGAACTATGCAGTAATGGAAAACCACAAGCTGAAACATGGTAAAAAAAGTATAACTAAGCACAATAATTAAGCAAAACTATTCAGCACTAACTAAAAATTCACTAACATTTTCTCTCTTTTCAGTCAGTTGACCTCTGCTGCTCATACACTTTGTTGCAATGTGCATGATGTTTTTTCAGTCCATGTTGTTTTGGGACTGATAGGGGATGATTTTGGTTTGCGCTGGGAGGAGATGCGATTTGGGGGTGAATTTGGGTGCGATTGGGGAGTGTGTGGGTTCAATTCTTCTACTGGCTTGAATTCGCAACGAATTCATTCGGGCACGATTCGATTTTGGGGAGTGTGTGTGGTCTAATTCTTCGCCGGTTTGTTACTGGCTTCAATTAGTGACTAATTCGAGCACGATTTGATTTGGTATTTGGAAGTGTTGAAATGGTGTATGTACTTCCTAATCTCTCTGATTTATATGCTTTGTATGGCTTTAATCACTTCCCTTCACTGAGCATAGATGTTGTATGACTAACAAAGTTTCTTTGTGTGTGGGAGCTGGGATTGTAGTTAGAAAACACTATGCTTGTGCAATGACAGAAATTGTGAGCATATTTTTTTCTGCCTAATCAGAACCATGTATTTTTTTCCAATTATTTCTACAATAACCCTACATAGTTTCTTTACATCTATACTGTCTTTTCCATAAATTATCACTAATCAGGTACTCATCTTAATTTATTTATGGTTGATTTTGGTTTGCGGTGGCAGGATGTTGACAAGAAGGAGATGATGGAGCACATCGAGGCCATCCGGGCCCTCCTCCTGCAGGGCTCCCCAGGTAGCCCGGCGACAGATTGTCAGGGACTACCTATGGTTGGGCCACCATATGGGCCCTGGGCCTTGGCCGGGGAGTATTGCCTGGACCACTGGAAGACATCTACAAGAGCGCAGGAACAGCAAGGGGAAGGCATCGAATATTCAGAAGAAACATATCTCCATCTCCCTCTTGAGTTACTGTACTTCTTCCTCCCCGAGCCTCCATCTGTAGGTCTCGAACTCTAATCCTTCCCATGTTATAGTTCTCCACTCCTCCGTCTAGATTGCTTTGCTTGCTCCAGACCTCCCTTCCCCTGAGGTCGTGTACTCCGATTTGTATCTGAATCGAGCTATTCTGTGAACCAGTTGAGAGGTGTGCTAACACAGATGGAGGCGACGGGTCCGTGGACGACTGCAAGAATCGCGAGGCTAAAGAGCAACTCGACATTGCCCGCTTCAACCTCGCCTACCTGGAGCTGAAAGCCACAGGACTGGAACTCCTGAGAGGTCACCTGGTGGGCGGGATCGCAGACCTGGAGAAGCGATTCGTCGACGAGCCTACCCACCTCGGGGCTGGCGACGCTGAGTTTGTCCGTTTTATTGAGGTCCCAATGTATGCAGATGAGGCGCCACCTCCCCAAGCGAGCCATGACTTCTGCTGCTGATAGCTCAGGGCCCTCTGAACGCCTACAGACCAGAGCCGGGTAGCAAGTGGTTACGCAATTGTCACTGCTACAGTGTTTCGTTTGTGTCGAGTCGGTAGGTCCTACGAATTCTGTCATGAAACTGTAGTAAAGTCGGTCGGTAGGAGAAGACTGAACACGCCTGTGTTGGGCCGCACTGATTCCTGAACTCGTTTGATAGCTGAACTCTGCCTCATTCTGTATCTAGTGTTCGTCGGTCGTCAGTCATGTGTTAATTCTGATGAAACCGTGCTGTCCACGATCAGGCTCTGTGCGAAGCCAACTCGACATGTGTGCTGCCTCACGTTTGGTTGTTGCTCTGTGGAGTTCCGCGTCTTGCCATTATTGAACCTGGGAGATGTTCACATGCAGTTTAATCTCCCATACCGTAGAAAAGATTAAAGTACTGTGCCAAAAATATTGGAATCTATAATGATACTCGACCAATTATCGAGCTGATAGTGTCCAACAGCAAATTATGGAATGAGTTCTTCTGCCGTCGCGCACATCGGCTCCTCACTACCACAATCTGCCCAAGACTGCCAAGGAAAGGGCCTAAACCGTCAAGAAAATAACCATCAAGAAAATAATTCTTGGTCACAAACCGTCAAGCAAACTCCGTTATAAATAGAAGACCAGGAAAATTAGTTTTCTTGGTGATTTTGATATTTAAGGATGATTTTCTTGAATGCTAGGGTCATACTTAATTTGTCACAGGGACAAGAAATAAAGAAAATAATTCCTAACCGTCAAGGCCATCAAGCTCTAAGTTTAAGATAAGAGACAAGGTTCCTTGCGGTTTTGGCACTCAAGGATGATTTCTTTGGAGGCTAGGATCATACTTAATTTGTCATAGGGACAAGAAATCAAGAAAATATTCCTAACCGTTATCCATGTGATGAGTACCCTTGGGTACATATCTCCGACACTTATGTTATTTTTATATTATGCTTGTAATTTTGTGTTATTGTTATTTCTTATGGGTTTTGTTCTTTTAGTTTTTTATTTTTTTATCTTATTTTATTCTTTTCCTGTAATCAATTGTTTTATTTACTTTATCTTTTTTTATTTTCATATTTTATTCGTTTTCATTTATCTTCTTTTTCTCTCTCTTTTCCTTCATGTTTTCTATAGATTTTCTTATTTTAATTGATTTTATATCTTTTATTTTACTGTATTTCTGTTCCAAATTATAAGTCACTTTGATTTTTTTTTTCACCCATTTTGCTATGTATCTAGACATATTATTTATCTAGATGTATAGCAAAATAAATGTACTAAAAAAGTCAAAGCGACTTATAATTTGAAACGAGGGAGTAATTATGTAGTTTCATGTTTCACTATTTATTTTTAATATTTTGTGAGATATACTATGATGTTCACAGTATTGTACATATGATTTAGAGGAATATTCCAAGAATATTCTAAGAGGTTAGACCTTGTGCTCATTTCCGCTAACCAAATACTATAAAAAATGGAATTGTCGATGTTTTACCACCGATAGCCTGCCACGGGGGTACCCGGGACAGTTGTTCGGTCTTCGGCGAATAGCGGAATTCGGCGGTTACGCAAAGATACTCACGATTTATACTGGTTCAGGCCCTCGACTTGGTCGAGTAATAACCTTACGTCCAGTTTTGGCGTTAGTCTGTTTGCGTTGTATTGCTTTGAATATCGGGTATGCGTTCTCCCTCTTCTTACAATGGGTACCCTCACCAGCCCTTTATAGTCTAGGCGCTGAGAGGCGTTGTTTGTGTCCTATTCGGATACAAGGTCAGAGTCCTAAGCTATGCTTCGGACGCCTTTCCTTGTATAGTTTGCGTTGGAGTTTCGGTTTTGCATGTTGCTTTGCTCCGCGTTCTTCTTGGCGATTGGGATGTAGGCCTTGCTACCAAGGCCTACCTCCCTGCAGTATGGTCTATGGAGGGCCCGTAGGGTTCCCCATCGACAAGCCCCCGAGCATTTTATGATTGAGCTTCAAGGGTCGAGTTATTGTAGTCTTGATCCGGGTCCTTCTTGAAGTGAAATCTTGATATGGTCTTCCTTGATTCTTCTTTTGGCTGATGTGCACTTTTGCTTGATGTCCTCCGGGTTCTTTTTCCTTTGAGTGCAGCGAGTGCAATTTTGTAAAAATTGCACTCATTGAGTGTAGCCCCCGAGCCTTCTGTTTTTTGGTACAAAAAGCTGGAGGGTCAAAAAATTTGAAAATATGTTTTTCTGTGGTAGGTACTTATAGCCCCCGAGTCTTCTCCGGGTTCTTTTCTGTTGAAAAGAAGCCGGAAGAAGGGTCTTGATTTGTACTCCTTTGATCTTTGTCTTTTGCTGGTCACGGATGGGTGTTGTATAGCCATGAGTGAGCGTCTTCTTTTATTTTTTTGTCAGGAATCTTGCTTTTGGGTACTATTCGCCTTTTTTGCTTTGCTCTTTTGTTCTTTTCCTCTCTCTTTCTTGTGATCTTTAGCCTTGTTTACTTCTGGTTTGCTATAAATACCTTCTTTGTTGGTTGTGGTTCTGCCTTGAGTAGGAAAGTTCTTCTTCAATTCTTTCTTCATTCGTAGATATGCTTGTGTGTGAGGTTGAGCAGCCCCCGGGCTTATGCTTGGTTGGTAATGATCATGCTGCTCTATCTGTTCTTCTGCGTCCGAGCTGCCGTTGCTGCCACCACTATGTTCCTTGTTGCAATATTTAAGAATCTTGTCTTTGTCTTATGTCTGAGTTTATCCGGTCCTGTTTGACCGTCTGTAACCTTTGTATTTGTCTTCGATCAATGAGATGTATAATTTTTCTCTGTCCGAGTTCTTTTTCGACTGTAATCCTTTGACATTGTAATTTTGTATGTGATCCTTCATACGTCTCCGTGTTGTTTGTTCGGTTACTTATTGTTGTTGTCATTTTGGTTGTTGGAGAATTCAATACAGGTCTTCACGGGTTGTATTGTTGCTTGTGGAATATTCTCTTGGATATGCTTGTCCTTGAGTGCCGTTCTTTCACGTCAGAGTCATCTTTCATTGAATTCTGTCTTTTCATTGTGTCCTTTGTAAGATTTCTTCTGTTGGTGCTCCTAGTCCATGTGCACCGCTTCTTTTGCCTATAAATGCCCTTTCGGAGTACTGTTTTGATTCATCGAGCCTTTTGTTGCCTGTTCTGAAGTCTCTGTAGTTATGAATATGATAGTGTGTGAAGTAGAGCAGCCCCCGAGCGTATTTTGTAGTTCTTGTACATTTTATTGTAGCTGGAGGAAGTCTTGTGATAGGGATTAGAGGTAGACTAATCCCGCAGCGGCATTGTACTTGGAAGTACATGGTGGTAGTTGGAGGAAGTCTTGTGATGTGGGCTTCGTTCCTTCATCCGGCAGTTTTGGGTTGATCCTCGTCGTCTGTCTTGAGACTGTCCGGTGCAGATCAACACCTAATCCTGCATCACGTCGGGCTTGGGTAGACAGATGCCTGCCAACTTCTCCTGGTCTATGTTGTCCCGCCGTGCTGCTGATTTCCACCTTGGATGCACTACGTTCGTCCTTTGAAGAAAACAGTGTAGCCGAGCACGGTTTGTTCTACCGAGTAGCAAATTGGAGCACGTAGTCATTCCAGAGCCTAGTTGTGTTCAGGCTCCTTTTTGCTACCTTGCTTTTCGTAGTGCCGAGTTCATTGGGTCTTGTAAGATGTGTAATCTTCTATTTTTGAAGCCATTTGTAATGAAAAGAATCTTGTCTTCAGAGTTGTCATTCATTTTTCTGCTGTAATCCTGGTTATTCATGAGGCTCCCGAGTTCTTTCTTTAATAACCGGGTTCTTTTGTTCCTTGCGAGTTGGCCCTTCGTTTCTTCATGGTTGACGGGTTGTTCTTGTAGTAATCTGAAAATTCTGCCGTGGTGCTGGATGGATAAGTCTAAAATCTGCCCGTTGGATCGTACCATTGTGTAGATTTGAGCCTTCCGTCATTTTAGCTGTGTCAATAAATGGATCGTCGCGTGGTTGACGGTAGAAGCCGAATCGCCATATTGGTTTTGATGAAGGAATTAACTCCGCCCTTAACTTTTTATGAAGAAAGTTTTAACTCCATCCTTATCTCGAGGAGGCTGTTGAATTGCCTGGGATGGCGATTTGGTCTCTATTTAACTGGCCACTCCGCAATTGTTTCGCCATAGCCACAATGACGAAGAAGAAGTTCATCCAAAGGCAGAGTGTCCGTAAGGTGTTGCGTTCTTCGCTTGTTCGCTCTCCGAGGATGGCCGTGGCGGAGTCGTCGAGCGGAAGGTCTTCGTCGTCGCCTTCATTGCTAGCTCCTCCGGTGGTGGGGAAGGCTCCCCTTGTTGGGACATCAGCACCGGTTGTCCCTCTACAGAAGAAGGAGGATCCCTCGGCTGCTCCTGTGGTCACTCTTGTCCCCCTCTCTGCTGCTGACGCTACTTCGATGAGGGCGGATTTGATTGTCCTTAGTAGTGACCGTGAAGATGAGGTTGATTGGGAGGCGCTCGCCGCCGAAGACGAAGTCGACTAGGGCGCCCTTGCTGTCGAAGATGACGATGATGTCAAATCTGTGGGTAGTGGGTCTCCGGCGATGAACTGATGATGGCTGGATGTGTTGTCATTAGCCCTCGCTTTGATGTTGGCGTAAAAGATATCGAAGGGCAGATTGTCCGGTCGTAGATTTATCTTGGTGATTTGATGTATGTAGTAGTCATGTTCTTCTATGATCATCATAAACTTTGTTTCCCCAATTTCTCTTTTCCTTTTTCTTTTGATGTGGCTTCTTTTGTTTCTCTGTGTGGATGTCTCCGCTTTACTTATTCGTCAGATGAATTATGTGAGTGATCAGGATTTCTTCCGAGCAGTTGCTTCGTGGTGCGTATCCATAGCTTTGAGTAGACGAGTTGTTTCCATTTGTCGTGAAATGACTCTTTGATAGGTGGAGTGCTTTGTCTGGCTTTCGTTTGCGCCATGTAAACAACTCAGTATGTGTAGAACGTCGTCTTGAGAGACT